CTTAAACTTGACAGCGAAAAAAGATTCTAAGAACCTCCTTTGCCCACCGACCACTTCCAAAGTTTGCCTTTTTCTTATGTTTGGTTTACATGCAAACGGTAAAATTTTATAGCTCTCTCCATATTTTCATTAAGAAAGTGCCCTACCAAGTTTGTTGAATTTTATCGAGGTAAAATAGAAATGTTATAAACACTGTGATTTTAAAAGATATAGGCCACCCTTTACCACTAAAACTCGATCTAATTCTGTTGTTATCCTCATATTTTATGTATTTTCAATACACGAAAATGCTAGTTCTGATTAAGGGGGAGTTTTGTATATGTCTTTATGGTGAAAGAAGTTGGACGTCAAAGCAATTTCTTTGGAGCCTTCTTTTTTTCTTTTCCCCTCCCATAAGCAAGATTTTCATTTACCGACAGATTAATATTACATTTTATTTGGGTAATGATATATTTTAATGCAAGTTGAAAAGGGTGTTAGAAAAAAAAAAAAAAAACTAAAACATGTTTATGGATATAATTTCCACTTACTTGAATGATAGAACACATTTCTCAGTCTCTCTTTTTTTTTTTTTTTTCTGGGTTTTGCTGGTGAGTTTCTTCGTTTTGGCATTGTTCTTCATGATATCATCCCTACGGCATAATTACGCGCTTCGTACCCGTTTTTCGCATACACTCGAAAGATACAGAAGATTTTTCTTTCTTTTTCCATACTTTTTTGGGGGGGCGGAGACATACAGAAGATTGTCTGTCACCCTGTTGAAGGATGAAAGGCTGAAGCTCTTGGGCTTAGCACCACACAATTTGGTGCTTTCTATCCTCGGCTGTCCAGTAAAATAAAAAAGGGTTGAATTTTTTATACTGCAATGATTAGAGTCAACAGAAGTTGTCTGTTTGGATTAAAGTCAAAGCTTATTCACTAGAGTGTTAAGAATTCTAATTAGTAAAATATATTATAGTTTTCTACTGATGTTTTGCATTCTTTATCACAGGAAATGCTTTTAATTAGTGCTATTAACGTCTGCAGATTTATCTTTTCATTTTTGTTTCTCTCTGTTTTTGTAAAAAGAAAAATTTTTTATCTTATTACTCAAATCGTTAACGTGTTTCGGGCAGGTCAGTCATTGCATTAACTTCCATTTTCTCCGGTTGAACCGGTTTTGGTGGGGGATTCATACTACATCCATTAGAAAGAAATTTCCAGTAATTACGCAGCTCTGTTTCTGAGGTAGCGAAATTAACATTTTAAATTCCACAAATGTTTCCCACCCTTTGGACACCAAGGAAAGCAACCGCTTCGGCGGTTAATTATTTATGGACTTTTAGAAAGGATATTTCTCTAATGACAAAGTTTTGGTAACGAGTCAATTTTAAGATTTTGGGGAGGAAGAACCGGCATTTGTTGATTTTTTTTTCCTGGATGTCAGTAGCAACTAGGAAGATCAATGGCAAGAAAATGTTGGCGTAAAAGTCTAAGAACTGACAGAAAAAACTAAACGAAGTGAAAGTTGACATAAGCAGAGATCACGGCAACTCAGATGGGGCTAAATGGAGCCTTTGACAAATAGTTCGAACAATCTGCAGATTTAGAACTTTGATGATTAGCAGTAGCATACTACTATATAACTTGAGCCCAGGGAATGGATCTTCATCGTCTAAGGACCTACGTGATTAGATAAACCACAGAGGATCTCTCTTTTAGAAAAACTACTACTATTCCACAGATTAGTGGAAATGGCGTTGTTTTGCGTTCAATGAAGCCCAGTAGATGGCTGAGAAGAAAGAGGTGCGATCACCTTTATGCAGCAGCCGGCGCCATTTGTTTGGCAGAGAAACCAATCTTTTCTTTTCCATCCACAATTCAACATCGCAGGCGGTCTCATTACTGCACTTTGGGAGGAGCCTAGATCATACGCCCACATAAATTTGTTTCCATTCACCTTACTGCTCCAATTTAACAAAATTTTTATTTTTATTTTTAAAGAAAAAAGGCCATATGATCTGATCTGATCTGATCAGCAGGCAGTTACAGTCGAAAACTCTCTGGTCATTGCAGGTATTTTTTTTTTTTTTTTTGTTTTTCAGAAAGAAAGAAAATACTTAAAACCTTGCCAAACGGGGCAAGCGCCGAAAGCCGTTGGGGGATGGTAGGGTGGTAGCTAGGTTGTGCAGTTGTTTTGTACATTATACAGAAAAGGAAAATGGGAAATGAATAATAATTTTTGTAAGCAAGCCTATGCTTGTCGTTAGGTGTGTGTCAGACTGAGACATAAGAAGAATGGTTCAGCGGTCTGGGGATGAATGATAATCATAAATGAAGGTATACACCATACAATGATGTCCCTTTTGTCCTGTATATTTCAAGTTGAACAGACACCATTTAAGCCAAAGCATTTATGGTAAGCTGCCGCAGCTCTGCTGCTGGGTAGCTTTCTTGGAGTAGAGGCTGGAGAGTCAACACATTTCAGCTCAAAGAAGATCAATCAAAGAATGCATGGCTGACCCGGCATTCTTCCATCTCCAATAAATAATCATTCCGCCCACTCTTCCTCATCATATTAAATATGCATCAACGGTTTTGCCAACCCTGAACCTAGCTATCATCATCTCCCTTTTCTCTTCTCTTCGGATAATGCCATGATAAAAGAAAAGAAAAGAAAAGAAAAGGAAAACAAAAGCGATTGTGCTGATTTGCCGAAATGCACCAATTGTAATGTTTGTGTGTTGCATCACCCCGTCATCAATTCACTGATGGCGGTGAGGTGTCCTAAGCCAGAAAGTCCGACCAAACAAATAGTAGGCGTCTTGGATCCAACTAATGCAAGGAGATGAAAGATGGTCAGCCAGTAACAAACAATTTGGAGATGAAAACAGAGAACTATTCATTAGTAGTAACTAGTAACTCCAACTCTTCACACCACGTGGAAGATGATCTTTCTTGATTTGTTGTTTGATTGGTAGAATAAAGCAGCAGGTTGATTGCATTGGTGGAGTAGTTAGCATAAAAATTTTGGTCAAGATCCAACCACCGCTGAGTAAAACTTTTGTTCCATAGCTGACCGGGAAGCTCTAGTATATACCCTCAATTTTGGAGGATCTGTCACTGTCTGATGCTATCTATTATGAAGACGGCAGTCGTCTCCTTCAACACATATTGCTTCGTAGCTCTCTCTGTCCGCTGGCGAAGATACTGCTAGTTGATTTATAATCTTTATCAGCCAGCATCTTTTGGGCGGGCTTCACTAGCTAGTTGATTGCCATTATGCTAATGAGATTTTGTCCTGTCCAAGACGTGCTCTGCATTCCCAGCCAGCTTCCAACCAACCCTGGAAATCCCAAAAAAAAAAAAAATCAACTCCTCTTGAGTCCCCCTGACCAATAATTCCAGATAGACAAATGGAGTCGCTTAATATCAACCTGTACTTTAGATTCCAAGTACTCGCTTAATTAATATCACTCCTTTATTTACTCAGTGAGTGAGTATTAATTGCCGCCTTTTGATGTCCTATCGCAGTGGAAAAGAAGAGTTGCAGCGTGCAGTTTTTTGTTACGCTGTCTGTGTCAGCTAATCTGATCATAAAAGAAATTGGAAGCTGTTTTGTTGGTCTATGCGGTGTCGGGTACCTACTACAACATGCTGCTGTTTAGCAGATCACTATTGTAGAATCAAGATCCCATGACGCCTGCACTTAAAAATATTAAACCTTAACGGTTAAGGAAAAAGGAAAAAGAGTAAGCCTTGTCCTTATCAAAATGCTGTCTCTTCAAAATAATAAATAAATAATACAAAATGTTCGCATGATGGGGTCTGCTCTGCTTTTTCATGGTTTGCCTTTTCTTAGTTGCAGGTCACCTTTTCACGGTTGGTCCAATACCACCATCCATCCATCTGTTAAGACCACATGAACTAGCTTTTAATTCTATACCAGGGCCCGACACGGCCCCGATACAAAAGCCCATTTAAGATCTCCCTCCCTGTCATTTATTCTTCCCTGCAGAAGATCCTTTGTCAGCGGTGGATGGATGGATGGGAAGACTGCGCATTTTTTATGCAATTTCCTTAGTTGCGCGCTAACTGAGAAATAGTACCATGCAAATTTCGATGGTCGTGCAGCACAAACTAGGAAGTAGGAGTAGATTTAGAAAAAATTCTATGGTGCTCGAAAAACAAAAAAAAAGAAAAGAAAGAAGAATGCCATAATAACCAACGCATTCTTGTATCTAAGGTAATAAATTTTAATGCATCAAAAAGAATCCCCTAATACATATATTATTGCTATAGAATTTCGAATCCTTTTCTTGATTTAGTCTGTGCATTTCCTATTCGATGAAAATTAAGAAGAAGTTTGTCCCTGTTCTATTTCCTTATAAACTGCTGCGCGCTACTCAAAAACTTAGCAAATTCAACAATAGTAGTAACTTCTTTTTTTTTTTAATATTGTTATCAAGAACGATTCCTTTTATATGCATTCAATATAAGTTGAAACAAGTGCAACTATTTTCCTTTTCATGTTTTTCTTATCAAAAGAGAGGTACCGTGTGAAATTTTTGATTCAAGTCTATAGTTTTCATGAAACGTAAAAAGAATACACGATATAGTACCATACATATTGGACTGTGTTATAATTTATAGTAGTAGTTTGGACGAATTAATTACTCGTAAAAGGAAATTCCTATACTTGTTTTCTTTCCTTTTTAGATTTGGTATCTTCGAACTTTAATTCCCTATTCTGTTCAATACTAGGGTTACTACTTAACACTCTTAACTGCCTTCACAAAACTATATATAATACTAGGGTCTTCCTTCCTCTCCCTTCCTTCACAAGCAAAAGAAAAGCACTCAAAACAACGCAGGCAGCAGGGGAAAGAAAGACAGAGAGAGCAGAATTGTAGTACATTTCTAGGTTTTGAGGGGTTTAGTCAGTGACAAAAACCTAGAAACCCTTGTCTACAACTCTTGTCTGCGCCTCTGCTATTTTTGGTGTTGGTTCAACACGCGCGATGGCGTTTAAGGGCAACCCTTTTGCCCTCTTGAACCACGAAGACGACGGTGGCTGTTCACAGCTTCTCTCTCCCCCTAGTGCCCCGGAATCCAGAAAGCCCGCCGGCCATAATAATGGTAGCAGTTGTTTGGCTTGAGTTTTTTTTGCATGAATTAGTTATAGAGTTGCATGGTTAGCAATTGCATGTCTTGAAATCAAGAAAAATGGTAGCAGCAAAAATCTTCCAAACTTTTCTGTTTGACTTTCTTTCCGGTTTGCTCGTTTAATTAGGTTATTGGTGTGATATGTGGATTCTAAGACGTGCAAAATCCGTGTAAACATTAAACAAAGCAATTTGGTTTTGTTGGTTGATAAGTGCAGGCTATCCGCTGTGTGTGTGTGTGTTTTTTTATCTTACCTTTACATGTTAATATGGGTCTTGGTAAAATTTATGCGACGCAAAATTGCATGTTGGGAAATTTTGGGAAGGCAAGAAAAGGTAATTTTTCATTTAAAGAATGTAAATATCTTTCTTTTTTTTTTATTATGGGAAAATTTCGTTTGTTTTCTATTTTTTAGAGAACCTTTTTCTTTTGGGTTGTGCGAATTGTATGCTAATATGTGTTCTCAAATATCTTTCTGTGCTCTTGTATTTAAAGTCCTAGTCTTGATTTTTATTTTTTGGTAAAATTTATTTTATTAAAACCCTTGGTCCAATTAATTAGGGGGGGGGGGCAATATATCAAGTGTCAGAAGGTTTTACATTTTGATTATTTTGCAAAATCCGTTTTTCCAAAATTGTACTTCTAATTTGGACATGGATGTTGTGCAATCTTGGAATCTGTTTTAAGAATTAATTATTTTCTGCAGTCGTGAAATCTGAAAGAAGGAAAGGAAAGCAAACTGGAAGAGGAGGCAGAGAACGCGGCTCTGTAAGGAACAATAATGCCCAGGAAAAAGGCATTCAGAATAATAATTATCATCACAGCAACGATAACAGGCGCTATGATGGTGGCCAGCGGCAGAATATGGGAGATAATGGTTATCGAAAGAATGATGATGTTCACGAGCAGAACAATGTTGACAAAAGAGGTTATCGAGGAGCCAACTGGGGAAGCTGGAACAACGATTACAACAAATTTGTTAGGCGTGGGGATGGCGAAGTGAAGACTTATGAGGGAAAGGAGGCTGTTGGCGGTAACGAAGAACCCAGGAAGGGGTAAGCATCTTTTGATGAAATATCTATCAACTTAATCCTGCTGCTTGTCTCTTTCTTTATTCGCCTCGAGTAATAGTTCGTTCGTTTGAATTACAATTTTAATTGATGGATCCTTGATCTACAAACAGAAACATGCATGTTAGCTAGTCTGTATCTTTTATAGGTTCTTTTCGCCCCTTCAAAGTAGGATGGACAACCAAATCAGCAACTGGACTGGTTCCTGACTTTTGACATTGTATTCTTGCTCTTTCTTATAACAGGAACCTAATTGTGGGGGTATCCAAAGGACGAGAGCCAGAACAAATTCCTAATGGTGGAAAGGGCTTCAGTGAGCAGAAACGACAAGATAACGTAATACTTCGATCTGCTGCATTTTTTTTTGGTATGCGCGCGCTGTAAAAAGTTAGTTAGTTCGATGTAGATGGGATATTCACACTCTCTTTTCTTAATGTTGGTACGCAGACGATGACTTTGCAACAATATGACAAGCAGCTTCTTGAGAAGAGGAAGGCCTTGGAAGCTTTCAAGAAAGAGGAAAGGAAAGTGACACTGGACGAGGAACTCGACTCGATGCAGCTTGTTGGCAAGAAGAAAGATGACGTTGCTTCTGCTAAGCAGGTCGGGATTCAAAAAAAACCCTCCATTTATGTTTTCATTCTCCTCGCTTTGTTTTTTCTCTCAGTTTCAACAACCATATGTAAAACTTGCAATATGATCATATTCTTTCTGCATTATTTAGAATTCTGAGACAGAGAAGCTCAAGAAGGACGATGGCCTTGGAACGACGAATGAGAAGGTACGATGGGTGAGTGGTCGCCATGCAACCACCACCACGAAGGATGAAGCTCTTAAGGCTGGTGATTCCCCTAAAGTTCCTAGTAAAGCTCCTGAGAGTGGGAATTCCCATAGGAATCCTCCTGTCAAAACTCCTGATGTTGAGGACCGCAAACAGTTCCCCGTGCTCGAGAGGGTGTCGAAAAATTCCAACCCTCGTTAGCATAATAACTTGGACTAGTATTATCCACTACTTCTTTGAGAAGTATGTTGAACGATCATAATTTCTTTCTGGTTCACTATCTATCATTCATGAAATTTTCTTTTGCAGCTAGCCTTTTTGCTGCTAGTCTTTGCTCTCGTTTGTGTGTTCTTGTTGGGCATAGAATGCCCAATCGGCTAAATTATTTATGCCATGGGTTGAATATGTGTTCTTGTTTTTACTTCGGATTTAATTATTAGTTTAGGAAATTACTTATCCTGGCGTTTGTGGAGTAAATTCTTGAATTATGATGAAAAAAAAAAGAGTTTCTACAAGTAAGGCTATTGGTGGAGGCGTTTCTAAAATGAGGTTGTTCGCATTTGTTGAATGCGAACTTACTTAGCTCGCATTCGGCAAATGCGAGCTAGGATACATTTTTTAAAAAAAAAAAAAGTACCTCGCATTTCTCTGTCTCTTTCACCTAAACCCAAAAACAGAGCTCCGTTCTTTACGTCAAACATTCGGCATTCAAATCCATAAGCAGAGGGGCAGAAATTGGAACGAAACTTTGCACACCCAGCTCACTCTCTCGTCTTTTGCGTAGCTAGACAGCAGTCCAAGCTTCCAAGAGGAAATTGCCCAAACTCCCTCAATCTCTTTCTTTCTCGTCGGTTGTTGTCCGCCATTGTTGACCTTCCACCAGACGCCATTTGCACCCCAACCAGCTGCCATTTCTGCCTCAGCAGTCATCCCCAACCAATTTTGTGACCCTTTGCGCTGCACATTTTCTTTTCCCTTCGCAAATGGCTTTCAAATTCGTGGCTGTGCATCGCAAATTGTCTCTGAAGTATGTGGCTTTGTGACTTTCCTGTCTGGAACATTCCTTCTCCACAAGACCAAGGACATGGGAGGTGTAAGCAGCACTAGTAACACGCCCGTGCCATCTCCGGTATTCCTGGCATCACGCCAGAATTCTGCGGTCTGAGCTTTGAGATGAGATTGCATTCTGCGGTCTGAGCACAGTGACCTCGCATTTAAGAGATGCGAGGTAACTGACCTCGCATTTCATAAATGCGAGGTCTGGTTTTCTTTTTTCTTTTGTTTTTTGGATTTCGTTGGAGGAAAATTCAAGAGATTTCGCATTCAGCAAATGCGAGTCGAGGGAGCTCGCATTTGCTGAATGCGAAGATCCCTTGGACAGAACCCCACACTCAAAATGCCCCATTTGTAGAATTTTTTTAAAATTCATCATAATTTTAAAAATTTCTCCAACTTTGTGGTGTTAGATTATTAATACTACTGTGACTCGTGTGTGATGTGGCGTAAGGAATCGTACTCGGGAAATAATTTGTCTTTTCTTGCACAACTGAGTTGCATATTAACAAAGGCCTGCGGCTTCTTTTGCTTGTTTCTGACTCATACCTTCGGGTTATTTGATTACTAACATGTCTTGTAAACTTGGACCGGGTGAATGGCAGATTTTTTGTTTCTATAGTTTCTATAGCTTTTTTTTTTTTGGACGGTTAGATGATTGATTCATTGCGGTTGGCCCAATTCCGACACTTGAAGAGTGAAACTGAATGTCTTACTTCTTCTCTTATTGGAGATTTGCTTCAAAATGCAATATAAAAGCGGAGGAGAACAATGAAGGGAAATTGCTCAATTGAGCAGAGTGCAAGAATTGTTTTAGCAATCAGTCGTCTTTACAGTTTAATAACAACTTAAAAAAGTTGATAAGGGTATTGAGAGACCTTTAATAGCTGTTGTATCAATTGGTTTGGACAAGAAATATTCCCTTTAATAACTTTTGTTCATTAGTTTTGGACAAGGAATATTAAAATATTTAACATCATAAACAATTTACAACACTCAAATCTAAAATTAACTACAAATCAATCTATAAAATCATTACTAAATTGTTATTTTAATAAAAAAATGTATTTAGAAATATTTATATTTCATAATTATTAATATATTGTTTGGATCCAGGTCAAATACGAATCTTATATTATGTATCCAACCTGTTTTTTTTTTTTCCTTTTTTTTTTTGTTAGAGGAAACGGATTCGGATCCAGATTTGGATATTGAAATTATTTTTCAATCCAAACTCGAAAAAATTTATTGGATCCGAATCAGATCCAGATTTAAATCCGTTTCATTGCCACCCCTAGCGATCCCCCGTCCCCCCCAACCCCAGTTTAAAGCGGAGGGGAATTACCTCCCCCCAGTTGCCATCCTTGCGAGTATCTAATGGAAACACACACACACACACACACGTTTGATGCAAGAAAGACTGGGCTTGTTGGCATTCACGGCAAAACTTATCGGGCCTTCATGTATTGACAGAAAGTTTCCATGTCAGAATATTTGGGCTAATGCCCATTTTGCCTGTTGTTCTATCAGGACTCCGAAGTTCCAGATTTCGTCTTCTTTGAATCCAGATGCCCTCAACCGACGGGCTTCCTTATGCTTACAAAATTCGTGTCTTTACTTGTATGATTCAGGGGCGCAGCAAACTACAGTGTAAGGTTGATTTTCCACGTCACATGGCACCAGATTTATTTAGTATTATTGTCGGGATGAAGAGAAATCTGGGGCGTGCAATGTGCAGTTAGTATTATTGTGGGTGCACCAGATTATAACATAATCCAGCCCTTATCTGGTTCATTTTGTAAGCGAGGAAAAAGACGAATGAGGAGTTGTTGTTTGTGGGGGTGTGTGTGGGGGGAGACATTTTGGAGATGATGCTATCGAGGACTGAGGGAATGACACGTCCGTGGTGTAGATATGCGTACGGACGGTGATCTGATCCCAGTTGGCAGCAAAAGTAGCGGCGGGTGGCGGACGGAGCAGATGCAGAGGATCCCATAGCCACCTCACATCTCCAAGGACTGATCGGGTGTATCCTCCCTCCGCCATCCGCGACCATGACTCCGCCCATCGATGTATGTCATCATCCCATCATTCATCATTTAAATCTCCAATTATTCCATCTGAAGAACCGCTCTTCTGGCCGTTGCTGTATCTATGTTGCATTTGCAGCCCCATGCAAACCCCTTTTTTCTTGTGCTTGCTACTAATTTGTTTCTTTTCTCCTTTTTAATTTTATTTTTCTCGTAAATACTACCATGAGTCGTACTAAGTCGTCTAGGCCTATAGTTAGACGACAGAAATATTTTTATCGGTCAAGTGATCGTAAAATCTTTTATTTTCATTATTTAACCATCCTCTTTCTCTCGCTTCATTGTAAGGACTGGTAAGGGTGTAAAACGAAATCGAAATCGATAATTCGGAACTTTGAAATCGAAATTTTTCGAAATTTTGGTATCAGAATTTTCGATCGATTTCGATTTCGAATTCGTTCCGAATTTAATTCGGAATTCGGTAAATTTCGATTTCACCGAATTCATAAATATAAAAATTATTATTATTATATAAATATTATATTATGCATATATATATATATATATGAAAAACAGATTTGAAATCAAAATAGGAATCCCGAATTCAATTTCGATTTGAAAAATCTCATTACCGAATTCGACCAATTTGAAATCGGATATTCCGATTTTCATTCTGAATTACCGAATTCAAAATTCTGAATTCAATTCGAATTCGGTCAGTAAATCAGAATTTTTTTATTTTGCACACCCCTAAGGACTGGGGCTTTTTTCTTCTTTTCCCTTTGTTTTTATAGATTACAAACTATTTTTGAACAATATTCCAACTTCTCAAAAGAAAATTGAATTTTTCCATCTGAAGATTTTATTGACTAACTTTTAAATGCTACGGAATGGACCCATGAGTGTTTGGATTCTTGTTTTGTGTACGCAGCATCCACCAAGTGCCTAACGCACTTTAGACTGACTGACTAGAGATGGCAATAGGGGCGGGTGCCCGCGCGGGGGGCTCTCGGGGCGGGGGGAATTTTTTCCCCCCGCTTAGAAACGGGGTGGGGGACGGGGAAGTATACCCCCGCCCCACCACCCGCAAAAAATATATATATATTATATATATAATTATATATAATATGTAAGTTAATTAGTTATAAATTTATGATAATGATATTATTAGTTAGATGTATTATATAATGTATAGTAGTTTATGTAATATAATTGATATTATCAATTATATGAATAATTATACGTGTCTACTAATAAAATTTATTAATTAGTTATACTAAATTTACTAATACATTTATACTAAATTTCTAATTACACTTAATAGAATAACACTTTTTTCTCAAAAAAAAGCACAAACACAATAATGAATTAGTGATTGCATTTGTACTAAAAGTGAAAACTTGACTATTTTAGTTATATTTATTTCATCATATTGGATTGTATTCAAATAACTTCTGTTTGATTGTTTTTATGAGTTTCAATTGTAAAATTATAATGAATAATAATTTGGTGATGTGTTGATATTTTAGTACTTGATTATTTATTAAAATTTAATTATAATAAAATTTTATTAACCCCGCGGGGGCACCCGGGGAGGAAGCGGGGCAAGGCGGGGCGGGAGCGGGAGGCGGGGGACGGGGGGAACTAATAGGCAACGGGGCGGGGGACGGGGGAGGGGTCCCCCGCCCCAATCCCGCCCCGTTGCCATCCCTATGACTGACAGTTAGTCAGCTTAAAGCCTTCACCGATCTTTAAAAATCTCAAATCAAGCATCCACAACTCAACTCACATAATAATGAAATTTATATCATGGTTTATCACGTCCTCAACGCATGTTAATGATTAACTATCTGATTCCCCCTTCTATTGTACTTGATTTGGTGGATTATGGTGTATTCTGGGCATGACTTAGGTGGCTTTAGGTAAGAAGGTTTTGGAACGGAGAATTGAAATAAATTTCATAATTGTTATTTGGCCTATTACTATCGGAATTGAGATTTTGAAATTATATCTAAAAATTTGGAATTCCTCGGTTCCCTAATAACCTGGAGGGTTTTGGACAAAAGTACAACTCTTATTCATATCTAATTTATAAAAAATTAGGAATGGCAATTGGGG